TTATTGTTATTATAATAGTAAGTACACGTAACAAGGACACCTTAAAATAAAGTGTTACCATTTTTTCCAATAGTAATAATATTTCACAATATTACTGTTTTTACTACATACATATAGAAGTAGGAGATGGATAAATTAGCCAGAACATAATTAATTTTCAGTGGTTCACATCTGGCCTCATATTTGGTTTGACCAGCACAGTTGTGCAGGAGCTTCTATCAGATTGCATTTTCTAATGTTTAAAATGCCTTCCCCAAAGTGAATGATGTTTTACCAGGTTTCTTCCTGGGAGAAATCACAACCCCACACACACATCCTCATCACCAGGAAGATTGCGTAAGTCTAATGAAGGAGAGATGAGCTCAGGAGAGAGTAGGAAGACCGTCTTTGTTTTCGGCCAGTAACAAGACAGATAATTAGGGATTGTCGACCGGATGCGCATTCACAAGTTTTCTCCAAGACTAGTCACGCAATGTTTCATCAGGTTAATAAGAGTGCTATTTCACGACATGACATCACAACAGTGTTGTAAATCATCATTTGACTGAAGGTTTTGTTCTGCCACTGATCACAACAGAAAGCGAGCCATGCAGGGATAAAAGAGGGAAAAATAAAATAAAACATGAAAAAAAGAGGAGAGACAAGAAACAGTCTCAGTTAAAAAAGAAAAAAAAAGACAGAGACAGAAAGAGAGAGACAGCGTGAATATGTGTGGGCTAGCGTTGTATTTTATTTTAGAAACAAGAGTGGGTGGATCTCACGGTGTACATCACCATATTTCATTCAGAAACAAACATTTTATAATAGCATGACCCTCATGAGAAACATGAGGCAACCTGAGAAAAAGAGCTTGATCGGTTTTAGCATTAAAAATAATCTATAAACTATATTATATATAAAAGTTACATAGTACCTGACAAATATGAGTCAGGTATCATATCTTAAAGGTATAATTCGTCGTCACCCTCATGCTATTCCAAACCTTAATGCATTTCACACACTAAATTATATTTTGAAGAATGTTGGCAACCAAACAGTTTCAGTTTCCACTGATTGCACTGCATTTTTGCTGGTGACATTAGTGTCAGTACATGATCTCTTCGAGATTTGTAAAACGGCGAAACAAGCCCTTTAACAAACCAAAAAACTAGCCAATGAGAAACGTGCTCTGCTTTAGAGGGTGTATATTTGAGAAAGGACATGGGATGGGGTGGTCTCCAGTCCATTATTTAATGTTATGTGACGTGAAAAGCCACATGTTTGCAATAAACAAATCCATCAAGACATTTTTAACATTTAGTAAAAAGCCATCTTGTTTAATCAGGAGAAAAATATGCACAGATCAAGTCATTTATAAGGGGAAAACAGTCCAAAACAGTTCTGGTGTGAAATGACAAGGGGATGGACTTTTTCACTGGAGGAAGCATTATTATGGATTATGGACCTGATTTTGGTTAGAAGTGATGGTTTAAAGGTAAAATTATGGATTTTTTTTTTGCTTCACAAGATGTTAATCGATGAACTTGAATCGTGTGGATTAATTATTTTGATGTTTTTAGCAGTTGTTTGGACTCTCATTCTGACGGCACCCATTCACTGCACAGGATCCATTGGTGAGAAAGTGATGTAATGCTAAATTTCACCAAACCTATTCTCATAATGAAACATCTACATCTTGGATGGGCTGAGGGTGAGTAAATTTTCAGCAAAAAATAGTTTTGGGTGAACTATTAATTTAATGAAGAAAGCAAAAACAAACAAAAAAAAACTTACCTGTTAAGGGACAAACCTGTGATTTTACCATAAATTTTGACATATTCCAAAATTGGTCCTGAAACAAAAGTAGTGTCGATCAGATTTTAGCATTAGTGGGTTATTATTATTTGTTTGACAAGTTACTCTAGGATAATCAATAGATGCTGAACCAAGAATATGTCCTACCTGGGAATATCAGTCACTGAAGGGACGCTGCTCTCTTGGTGCAAACTCTGTTGACCTTTAGGACATTCAAATAAGGCAAACACTCAAAAAAGCAATAACTGTATGTTATGGTTCCGGATATGAGATCATTCTTGATGGTGTCCCAGTCTCCATGACACACTAACTGTGGCGCATCTTACACAATCACTGGGATAAAACCTAAACACAGACTGTAAAATGGGTGAATTTATAAGAAAAGGCAATTTCACACTTGAGAAACAAGGACTGTGTGACATTTGTGACCTGAATATAATCCAATTATCACAGGCCTAAATTTTAAAATCACTTTCAACCAGATTTAAAGTACATGGATATAAAGTAAGATCCCAAAATGCATGGGTTTGATTACACATTAAATGTAAAAAACATCAGTAAAACAAATCATGCAAGTCTTATTTAATTTGTAAGATCCTTACAATCTAAGCATCAATATTCCAATAGCAATACACTCTTTAAGCACATATTACCAATATTATTTGGAATACGTGCTTCCTTAATCAGTTATGCAAATAATTTTCTGATTCAGATTCTGAAAGACTTTGCCAACCTCATGTTACTCTTTATATCTTTTTTTCCCTCCGGAATCGTCTCTTAAATTCACAGGGCTCTAGACAGCTTTCAGGGTTAGTAAAGATTTTAAAAAGACCTTAATCGAGTCCCAGATAACTTTTCCTATAAGGATCTAAAACACTCCATGGCCCAAGGTTACATAACTAGTGAATTTGAGTAAACCAGAAAAATGCATGCAATCTGCACATTTCTGGCTATGGAGGAAAAATGAACTAGTTCATACAACGACAAATAAATCATGACAATCATTTTACTCATCCATCATGTTGACTGTGACCAAATGTAGTGAGAAATTACTGAATTTAGTGAACAAGTATTTTTAAATTCTAAAAAACACACATTCTCATCCAGTCTAAGCTGGCTTGATGGTCTTAGCTGGTTTACACTGGTCTCCCAGACTGAGTTGTTGTTCACAGTTTAGCTTGTTAATATGCTGTTACCATGCCCAAAACCTTTTAAAACCACAAAACAGGCTCAGGCTGGGAGATCAACTAAAGTCAGAGAGGTTTAAACTTATTTTTTTCTTTAACAGAGATATAATCAATGGAAAGGAGTTATTAGTTAAAGTAGGAGTTACATTGGAAGCTCCCCTTCTCCCAATGATTAAGACTGACAAAGATTTTGCTGCATTTTAAACTGGTTTACTTAAACATTTAAAAGAGTCCACTAGTGTCTCATTGCAGATGTTAAGGAGAGAGGGAATGCATTCTTTTGAACTTAGCGGTGATGTGTCCCGACCATGACTGGGGGACCCACCATTATAATCACTGGAGGAAATTTGACTTTTAGAGGAGAGAAAAAAATCCACAGAAAGAAATCACAGGTTTGGGACAACATAAGGGTGAAATAACATTCATTTCTGGATGAAGTCTCTCTTTAAGAACATTTCTTCTTTCAAAAAAGTACTGCTATTCTTGTTTCCAAGGGTGATGTTAATTAAAGCAAGCAGTCACCCAAGTATACCCTTACTTCCTATCCCCCTTCCAAGTATGATCTGACAGGTTAATGCTCAAACTGAAAGAATAAAGTCTGCATATGTCTTAAGTACATATATACCTGCCAATTTCAGAGCAGCTCTGAATCCTTTAACCCCTCGGGAAAAATCCTGCCAGATCCTGCAAGCTCACACTTTAACATGCAAACCATTAGGAAAAACAAGATCGACCTGCATCTAAAGACTACATGCGCAAAGGTTGAGACGAGTTTAAGATGCACACCCAATGTTTTCCACAAAAGCAAAAGTATGGTGAGCTGGTTTGAAATTTTTTTTAATGTTGAGCTCTGCTGCACTCTTGTGGAAGAATTTGGTACTTGCGAGTAGAGGGCTGAATTTACACACACACAAACTACACATTGTCCTATAAACAATTAGTCAATCACACTTAAAGTAATAGGTCAGCTGAAAAAGAACACACTCTTATTTATTCACCCTCTAGTCATTCCAAATCCAAGCTATGCAGTGTTTTTACCCTGCAGAAAACTTTTTGAAGAACTGTTACAAAGATTTTGCAACAAAATGGTATTCATAGTGGCCAGGCGTCTAAAAAAATAAATAAAAGAGTAATGACAAATGTTTCTGTTCTCACAGGAGTTAACCAAATAATTGACTTGTGGTTGAGTGTGTAAAGAACTATTCAGACTGATTCAAATAGGTGTTCACTAATAATTCATGAGTCTTTTTGATTAATTCATTAGACCAGATCATGAGTCATTCATGACAGTTTGTGACAGTAGCAGTTTGAGTTGAACTTACTTGTTGGTTAAGTAAGTAACTAATCATTCTTACTGATTCAAACCGATAACACACAAGTTTACCAATGAATCTTGAATCTTTTTGAACAATTAATTACAAGAACTGGTTTACAAAAGCCATTCGTTATGCTTAGTAAGACTCGTTGCGATTGCCATTCTGATTCAGTTCAGTCTGGGAACCAATTGTTCTTTGTGAAGCCGATTCACTGAAACTTAAAAGAATAGATCAATTAACAGAACCAAAGGCCATGAAAATTATTCAGTTTTAGTACTTTAGAAAACAAATCTGAACCATTTCATGATTTTCAGCTGCAATAATGCCCAAGTTTTCACATGGCTTTGGTGCCCAATACAGATACCTCTCCTACAGATACACTTTCATCCGCTCACACACGCCACAAATAAGGCAAATGTGCATTTCATCTTTATCACAAAACAGGTTTAATTTAATATCTCTTTATTTTTTAAAATAATTAAACATTTGTATTTATCCGACCCTTTTTAACTTTTGTAATTGTTTGATTTCTGGGGCTTTCTAAAGCACAGGTTCAATTCTGACAAAGTTTACCACAGCATCAATCCTCCACAATCCCCCTCTCACTCCCCCCAAATCAGCAACTAAGTAAAAAAAAAGGAAGAGAGAACAAATTCCACTTGGTCAGAAGAAAAAAAACAAAACCAATTCCTGACAAAAAGTCAAATAAACCCAAAACAAATTAAAAGTGAAACCCAAGAAAGAAAGAAAAAAAAAAAAATCCCAAGAGGTTGTGTTCAATCTTTCCTCATCATATACTGGATTCTCCTAAAGAAAAATACGCTAAAGGTTCTACTAGATACAGAGTATCAAAGTACTGCATTCAGATACAGTATACAGGTACTTAACACTGTAAGAAACTCCCTCACACACTCGAATGCAGAATGTGTGTGTGCACGTGCAGTTCGAGTTCTCATGACAAGCATCTCCGGTTTTGCTGCTGGAATTCTGGACACCCGCTCCGATGTGTGTGTGTGTGTGTTTGTCCCATTTACTGGTACCAGTACCGGACTGGTGCTAGAGTCCAAACGAGTGTACAGGGCGGCACATTTGGACAGAAAAAGAACGAAAAGGGGGGAAAGCAAGAGCTGGTGCGTATTTATGACTTCCTCTTCTTTGCTGGTTACTGCATAGTGTCCTTTTGCGTCTCCTCAAGACGTCTACAATCCAGACCCACTGCGTTTATCCAGATGTTAACGAATAAACAAAGGTCAAGGGTAGACTACTCTGCTTTCAGATATTCAGGACACACAGGTGGCGAATGTTGATCCAATTCAAAAACAGAAAGAGGGAAGAGTAAGGTACATAGAGAAGGGGGCAGGTGAGGAAAGAGAGAGAATTGGGCTGGTGTTGTTCAGTAAGGATGGCCGAGGTATGTCAGATCAGTGGGATGAGATTCTCTGTTTGTTTGTTTGATTTTCTTAACAGCAGTCATTCATTTCAGTCCTACTGTCTGTTCAAAGTCCTTCCCCCTCCAGTGCGGGTTTCTCTTGTTTTTGTTTTTTGCTTATTTAAATTTTTTAATTTCCTTTTCTAGTCACGTTCTTTTTCTGCATAATATTTTTAATGGGGGGAAAAAATAAGATAAAATAAAGTTATTTACAGTGCTTTTGAAATAATGAGACTGACGAGGTGAATCTACGGTAAAGTAAATCGCACAAATACAGAAAGGAAAAAAATGTGGCCAACGTTCCGAGCGCGTGTTGGAGGCGTTGGGAAAAAGCGGTCCGGGAGAGGCGCGTCGTTAAGTGGGAATAATTCCGTCGCTCTGGAGGCTTCTCTTTAACTCCAGATCCTCCAACCTCTTCCACAGCGGCGGCACATTTGGACAGAAAAAGAACGAAAAGGGGGGAAAGCAAGAGCTGGTGCGTATTTATGACTTCCTCTTCTTTGCTGGTTACTGCATAGTGTCCTTTTGCGTCTCCTCAAGACGTCTACAATCCAGACCCACTGCGTTTATCCAGATGTTAACGAATAAACAAAGGTCAAGGGTAGACTACTCTGCTTTCAGATATTCAGGACACACAGGTGGCGAATGTTGATCCAATTCAAAAACAGAAAGAGGGAAGAGTAAGGTACATAGAGAAGGGGGCAGGTGAGGAAAGAGAGAGAATTGGGCTGGTGTTGTTCAGTAAGGATGGCCGAGGTATGTCAGATCAGTGGGATGAGATTCTCTGTTTGTTTGTTTGATTTTCTTAACAGCAGTCATTCATTTCAGTCCTACTGTCTGTTCAAAGTCCTTCCCCCTCCAGTGCGGGTTTCTCTTGTTTTTGTTTTTTGCTTATTTAAATTTTTTTATTTCCTTTTCTAGTCACGTTCTTTTTCTGCATAATATTTTTAATGGGGGGAAAAAATAAGATAAAATAAAGTTATTTACAGTGCTTTTGAAATAATGAGACTGACGAGGTGAATCTACGGTAAAGTAAATCGCACAAATACAGAAAGGAAAAAAATGTGGCCAACGTTCCGAGCGCGTGTTGGAGGCGTTGGGAAAAAGCGGTCCGGGAGAGGCGCGTCGTTAAGTGGGAATAATTCCGTCGCTCTGGAGGCTTCTCTTTAACTCCAGATCCTCCAACCTCTTCCACAGCTCCTCTCTCTCCTTCTCTTTTTTCTTCTCTCTGAGGAATGACAGAATGAACAAAAAAGCTAATAAATATGAGGTATATTTAACACCGCATGCATAAGCAGCATAGAAGTGAAACAACTACGTGTCACGAAAGTAATGAATACAAAAAAACAGCTCACCTCTGACGATCTGACTTGTAAGTGGATGTGAGTTCATCAAACAAAGTGCTGTTCATTTCCATGAAGGCCTTCAGAACATTATAGACTAAAGCTACTATGGCCCTGAAAGCAAAAAAAGAGAACGAATTAGAATTAAGCATGATTGGACAGGAAATGATTAATCCAGTTAACGCTGGACAGTGAGGACAATGCTGTGTTGTGTATATCACATACAAATTAGGGCTGCACAATTAATCGAATTTCTAATCGCAATTACAATTATGGATGCCACAATTACGTAATCGTTCAAAGCGGCAATTAATCGTTCAAAGTCCACTTATGTTATTCTGCTTGCTTAAGATGCTTTTTCTTTCGACAATGCTTTTCGACATAACCTTGTGTGTATTTGACAGTTAACATTAAAGGGTTACTCCACCCCAAAATGAAAATTTTGTCATTAATTACTCACCCTCATGTCGTTCCAAACCCGTAAGACCTCCGTTCATCTTCGGAACACAAATTAAGATATATTTGATGCATTCTGAGAGATCTCTGACCCTCCCATAGACAGCAATGTAAAATCAAAATAAAGAGCCAACTCTCTGTGTACTCGTTTCATGTGTGTACGCTCAGAATAATAATTTAAAAAAATTATTGAAAAAAGAAAAAAAGACCGGACCCCAAACATTTGAACAATAGTGTATAAATTGGACTGAACAGTCACTTTTACACATAAAACCTGTTAAACGAACATAAAACTAACTACTCCATTAAAATAAACAAATCTGATCCGTACAGTGTATATTTAATAATTTTAAATTTATACATTAAATTTGATAAAATTTGTATTTGTCTTCACAGATAGTGTCCTGAGATGGATAGGAAATAGAAGAAAAATCAATGAATGTGATTGGGACAAAAGAAGCCCTATTAAACTATTTTATAGGCTCAGAGATTGCAGTGGTGTTGTTAAATACATCAGAAGAGTGTAGGCTTGACTCACGGGTTCCAGTGTTCTTTGGAGATCCGGTACAGACTTGTGAACATTATAGGAAGAATCACATTAGAGTTCTCCTCAATCAGACTCATGATGTACTCATTATTCCAGTAGTACAGAGCTCTCTCAGCCACCTGGAACACATACACAAAATTTGAACACTTTCTAAGTTCATAATAGGATGCATAATTTATTTGTATTGTCAATTGCTGCATGCATTTAAAAGCTGTTTCCTTTAAAATGCAAAACTGTGGTGAGAATCGGCCTGTCCTTCAAGACTCAGAAAAACTAAAAATTGTTTATTCTGGCTGCATAACTACAATTGGACCGGTTTAATTAAGTCTTGGACTAGAGTGGATTTGTGCAGACCTGAAAATGAGGGCTGGAGACACATCTGGAGATCTGTTTGAAGAGAGGCTCCTGGATCTTCACAAACTGCGTAGGCTCAATCACATCCAGAATCTCCTCCAACTCTCCTAGGAACATGACCTACACACACATCAATGCAGACAATCAGAGAAGCGGATATAGAACATCAGTGAATGCATCCTAAAACGTCATCAACGCTGCCCTGAAATCATGGCTGATCAACCTCATGCTGTGAATTAGCTCTATTCAGGAGACCGCATCTATCTTACCTCTTTCTGACTGCAGGTTTTAGGCCAGAATTTCAGCAGACCTCTGATAACCTGTTGGAGGGAGAAAAAACAGGACTCTGATGAAGTAAATGGACAAAAAAAGAGATGATTAGTGAAAAACTGCACTTACTGGTTCTGTTAATGCAGGGTCTTTCTCTAGGAACTGTACAATACAATATGCCAGCTGCAAAAACAACAGTAATGTCACTGACAGAATTAACACTGCAGGAAGTGAACACACACAGGACTCATCTGAATGTTTTCACACAAACGGGCAATACCTGTGCATGGAAAAGTGAGAGGCTCCTGACGGTGTGAAGAGGAATCAAAACTTTCACCAGAAACTGTTTGTGCTCGGCCTTCAGTGGCAGAGCGAAGCCATTGATGATGCTGACAGGAGACAAACACAACTTTCACGAACAGCATTCTGGGATTGCTAAACCTTGAATTCATTGCTAAAGTCAGAACAATGCAAAACTCATCAGGGGCTTCCTGGTAATATAATCATATTTCATGGAAACTGGTATAAGCTCCAGTTCTGAGTTTTTAGAAGCAAGCACGTCAAAAGCTGCAGCGGATGATCTTCAGTGAATTTAATTGCAGTCTGCCGCTCACAAAATGCTTTCATCTGGCCAAGATCTGTAATATTGTATGGATATTGATACTATTTTTATGACGCTTTACAGCTCCTGTAGACTATATGCTTTTTCTGTATGGAAACTAATGCTTGTCACACAAAAACAAGAAGGTGAATAAAAACTATATTTTCAGAAGAAACTTCTCTTTAAGAATGGTTAGATGATCTCATATCTTATGCAAAAGAAAATCCCAACTGTTAATTGCAATTATGTAATTATGTTAAGTGACTGAAATAATTTAAATAGCAAACTGTATGAATGGCGTGACTTTTTGTCTTAAGCGCAAACCCTGCCCTGAAGCCATTTCTAAAGATTTCATTGGTCATGTCAATGACAGTGCTAATTGTCTACACAACTCTGAGGAAAAATAAAAAAATTCAAACACTAAACCATAATTAGTGGAACATTCTAATAGATATAGTTGCTGTTTTTCCCGTTAAGCTCCATCCATGTTTTTTTACCTCGTAACCAATAAAATCAGCTGCGAGGTGGAATTTGACTTGTTTGGGGAATATATATATATATATACACACATATATATATATATATATATTAGTGCTGTCAAACGATTAATCGCGATTAATCGCATCCAAAATAAAAGTTTTTGTTTACATAATATATGCGTGTGTACTGTGTATATTTATTATGTATATATAAATACACACATACACGCATGTATATATTTCAGAAAAATGTTATGAAATATATGTATATACAATATAAATTATATGAATATGTATGTAAATATTTTCAAAATATAAACTATGTCTGTGTATTTATATATACATAATAAATATACACACGCATATATTATGTAAACAACAACTTTTATTTTGGATGCATATATATATATATATATATATATTTCACACACATACATGGCCATCTATATAAGCTTAGCAGTTAAGAAAATTACATTGTGACTTTAAACAAATACAACTCACCTTCCCAAAATCTCCAACAATTCTGCGACTCCATTGAAGTGCTCAGTTTCATAAACAAAACTAAGAACAAGAGAGACAGCGATGAATGCTTGCGCTTTATTTGTGCATTTGCAAATATTATGTAAACCGTCTTATCCCTCACCGTAGAAAAATATTATTAATTTGTTTTCGTATAAAAGCTCTTAGTCCCAGGAATTTTCCATAGATTCTGTGTAAGACTGTCTTCAGGTAATCTCTCTCCCGCGGGTCCTCGCTGTCAAACAACTCCAGCAGCTGACAGGACAACAGATGGGCACAGCACACAAAAAAGAAGGGGAAAAAAAGATGATGAGCAAACAAACACTAGTGAAAAACGAAGGGATTTTTAAAAGAACATCCTCACCTGTAAGACAAATTTCTGGTCTATGTACTTTTTGGCAATGCTGGGTTGAAACTCCTGGCTCTCCAAAAAACGAATGAAGAACTCATATACCAGCTGAAAAGAGAAAAGAATGAGAGAGTTATTATTTCGAGGAGTTCTTTGAACTCAGCATGCATGCAAAGAAAGGTAAAAGGTCATGGTTCAGTTGAGGTCACATTCACAGGACACACTGCTACTGCCATCAGGGGTCGTTGCAATTATAACAGGTCGGGGAAAAAAAAGACAAGGATCACATGTCTGGGAATGTGGCTTTCATTATTGGACTCTTTTTAGATGAAGTAGACGAAAGCAGGGATTAATAACTAAACAAAAGAGACGTTTTACCAGGAAGATTCTCCTTGAGATATAATGCATCTCATTTCTAAAGGAGTCCTGGAAGCATACAGTGAGTACACACACACACACACACACACACAGAGTGTGTGTACAAACCCTCAAAAATACACACACAGACAAACATGCTGAAACAAATAAAATAGACAGGAGCTCTACACAAGGAAAGAGGGACCAGAGTATACAACAATATTCTCAAGAACCTCTACTGCATACACACACACACACACTCACCTGTAAATGTGGCCACGAGGCCTCTAGAGTGGGTTCATCCTCCTCTGGGTCAAACTCATTACTTTCACTAGGCGGAAGAGTTCGGAATATATTATAGGACACCTGAAAAAAAAAAAAAAAAAGATGTAATATAACCATAAAAACTGCTGAATCAAATATTACAGACCATTCAATGACTGTCTGAAGACAAGCTTTCTTGAAATTTCAAGCTCTAATCAGATTGACTTTATGCAACTTCTGGGAATCAGGGTGCACAGGTTTGTAATGTATCACTCAACCTGGCTGGAGCATGTGTATGTGTAAGCTGTTTTAGGTGAACATTATTTTCGATTTATTTTTGCATAAAATGCATGTTCATTTAATTTGAGCACTTTTGTGTATTGGTATGTCTCTTTAGCAATTATTAAATTGCATTGGGTATATCAGCAATTTATTATATTAGCCATCTTGATCATTAAATACTACCATATCAGTCAACCATAATTTAAAAAGCTATTCAGTGTTTCAAGGCACTAACTGTCTTTAAAATAATCCTAATTTACTGCTTTTGAACGGATGAAAAATTCTGACAAAAGAATGAGTCTTTAAAACCATTTTCAGACACTAGAACATCATCTGAATGAGCTATAAATTAATTCTGCTGCATGCCAGTCTATTACTGTGCTATCACTGATTTCAGATTTACATTACTGTTCAACGTTTGAGATTTTTTTTTTTTTTTTGAAAGACATTAATACTTTTATTTAGGAGGAATGCATTAAATTTATCAAAAGTGACATTAAAGACATTTATAATGTTACAGAATATTTCTGTATTAAATAAATACAATCTTTTGAACTTTGTTCATGGAAAATCCTTAAAAACATTCACCAAGAAGGAAGGAAGAAAAAGAACATTGATAAGAAATGCTTCTTGATCAGCAAATCAGCATATTAGAATGATTTCTGAAGGATCCTGTGACACTGAAGACTGGAGTACAGGCTGCTGAAAATTCAGCTTTGCCATCACAGAAATAAAATTGCATTTTTAAAATACATTCAAACGTTTTTTAATTGTAATAATATTCCACAATATTACTGTTGCTAGTCAGAAGTCTGACTCTGAAAGGCTACACTGATTATTGAAAAAGAAATTCACATTATACCATTTAGAAAATGTATGAATCGTGCTGCCCACATTTAGCTGACTCTATATGTGTTTTCACTCACCATTTTGACGACCTCTGGGTAGGCCTGTTCTGTGAGGTATCCTCGGCTGACTGTGACATAATCGACGAGCTCGTTGAGGGTTGAGCGCTTGTATTCTTTCATCTTCAGGTCTGACAGAGTGTCCATGAAATCAAACACAGCACAACACTGCTGAAGTTTCTTCAGGAACAACTCCGGCTGCTCCTGAGCAGAGACGTCTGTGCACAAACAAACACACACATATGAGAAAAAGCTCAAAAATGCTCTGCTGAAACTTCACTTTGTGATGGGTGTGTTCACAATAGCACTTAAGTAGAAGGTTCAGGGTGTACTTCCATATATACAAACGCCATCTGACCAGCCTGAGAGAAAAACTAATAATGGGATTCATTTTAGTAGAGTGTAAAGTCAGTAAACACATGCCAAACAAGACAAAAGATCCCATATCTCGCTTAATAAACAGAGGAAAGATTTGAGGACGTAAAAATCACACTAGGTCATCAGACGTCACAACGGGCAGTTTTCCATTATCCAAGAACTGCAAAGGACTTGGATATGTAAACTAATCAGTGGGCAGCACAGGAAAGGGCAAGAAACCTAAACTTCCCAGAGTTCAAATTCAGAACTAATTTGCTGACTTAACTGCATACATGATGGCAGAACGCGGATTTAGAAGCAAATCTATGCTGTGGACCCACTAATTTGGTTCACCTAACAGATAGCCTTTAAACAATCACCATCATAATAGCAATGACAATAAAAACACCCAACGAAATTGTTTGAGGAGCAATTTCTGAGTTGATGTATCTCCTGTTGAACAGGTAGCTGGGGTTTGACAAAGGACTTTTAAAAAAAGCTTAGTTTTAACAACTCTTCACAGTTCAGTTTTAAATTCACAACCAAACTTAGCAAATTATACACTTTAAAAATAAATTTCAATCACTTTGGAACTAGGGCTGGGCCAAAATATTGTCACGATTTTTCATGAAAAAATGATCAGATTAAACGGTTAGCTAGGCATGTGCCGGTATCAGATTTCCATGCTGCGATTAATTGATTACGGTTTTATCACGGTATACGGTATTATCACGGTGTTCAATTATATAAATAAAGGTTGAAAATATAAATCAACTTCAGTGTTGTCCTTTTAATAACAACTTTAATTATTTTAAATAATAAAGAGTACCTCAAACATTTAAATACAAATAAATATAAAGAAAACAACACACAGTAATGATGTATAAAGTGAGCAATTGTATCAAACAGAATAAAGTGCAAACTGCAAAAGAACAACTTTTGTTAACTGCTTTTAAATATATTTAAAAGTAATAGAACTATAAAGTGTCAACAATAAACATTTTCAACCGATTCCTGGTATCTTCTGGGTATTCCTTCTGAGCTGTCATGTTTTAGTCCTTCAGATTAAAGTGCAAAAATGTGAGCATGTTCACTTTTTCTGGCTTGAGCTTTGCATGGTGAGGTGAGAGGATGTGTCCACTGGCACTAAATACCCTCTCTGAAGGAACACTTGTTGCGGGTATGCAGAGAAACTTCTGAGCAACGGTAGCTAGATGAGGTAGCTCTTCAGCATGCAGACCACCACTGCAATGGATCTGCCTCTGATTTTATTACTGGCACAGAAAGATACACTTTTACCTCTGCTTCAATCTTTGACTTCAGGCTCAGGGTGCTGCTGCCTTCACCCTCCTCTGCCCTCTGTTGCCTTGTGGAGGTGATTTTGTTGAGGAGGGAGGCCAAGCTTTGGCGCTGTTTTTCAGAGGTGGGGATGGGGGAGGTTGTGCTGGTTTGCTCTGTCTGGGCAGCTCCCTCACTCAGTGTTGTCATCTCTGTCAGTTTTGAGGCTTCCTCAGTGCAGAAGTTGACTGGCTTCAAGGTCATCAGAAAAGCTTCCCTTAAACCGCGGATCAACAAAGCTTATCAAGTCCACCACCTTCTTTGCATCATCAGTGTATCTGGACTCGAGATCGGTCTTCATTAACCTCTTCAGGTCTTTGGTAAGGGCACGGTCTTCATTTTTCACATCAAGAATGTCTGAGATGATGTGACCAACTTCAGTGTTGTCCTTTTAATAACAACTTTAATTATTTTAAATAATAAAGAGTACCTCAAACATTTAAATACAAATAAATATAAAGAAAACAACACACAGTAATGATGTATAAAGTGAGCAATTGTATCAAACAGAATAAAGTGCAAACTGCAAAAGAACAACTTTTGTTAACTGCTTTTAAATATATTTAAAAGTAATAGAACTATAAAGTGTCAACAATAAACATTTTCAACCGATTCCTGGTATCTTCTGGGTATTCCTTCTGAGCTGTCATGTTTTAGTCCTTCAGATTAAAGTGCAAAAATGTGAGCATGTTCACTTTTTCTGGCTTGAGCTTTGCACGGTGAGGTGAGAGGATGTGTCCACTGGCACTAAATACCCTCTCTGAAGGAACACTTGTTGCGGGTATGCAGAGAAACTTCTGAGCAACGGTAGCTAGGTGAGGTAGCTCTTCAGCATGCAGACTCCACCACTGCAATGGATCTGCCTCTGATTTTATTACTGGCACAGAAAGATACACTTTTACCTCTGCTTCAATCTTTGACTTCAGGCTCAGGGTGCTGCTGCCTTCACCCTCCTCTGCCCTCTGTTGCCTTGTGGAGGTGATTTTGTTGAGGAGGGCGGCCAAGCTTTGGCGCTGTTTTTCAGAGGTGGGGATGGGGGAGGTTGTGCTGGTTTGCTCTGTCTGGGCAGCTCCCTCACTCAGTGTTGTCATCTCTGTCAGTTTTGAGGCTTCCTCAGTGCAGAAGTTGACTGTGGCTTCCAGGTCATCAGAAAAGCTTCCCTTAAACCGCGGATCAACAAAGCTTATCAAGTCCACCACCTTCTTTGCATCATCAGTGTATCTGGACTCGAGATCGGTCTTCATTAACCTCTTCAGGTCTTTGGTAAGGGCACGGTCTTCATTTTTCACATCAAGAATGTCTGAGATGATGTGACTTAACACCGGCTTCAGGGCTGACAGGCTTACTCTGCTCTCTGAAGGCAAAGCATCAGTGAAAGCACTGAGTGGATCAAGTATTTTTAAGACTTGCTCAATGACTGCAATACGTGCATCCTTTGGCATCAAATGCCATGCCCCTCTCTCAGTTGCCAGTACAGCACAGACTGCCTGCTGTTGTTCAATAAACCTCTGCAGCATTTTCTGAGTCGATCCCCATCGAGTGACTACATCATGGATGAGCAACCTCTGAGGGATGTTTAAGGCCTTTTGTTTATTTCTGAGTTCTCTTCTTCTCTTCCAGCTTCTTGAAAATCCCTGCACCAAATGTCGAGAAGCTCGGATTGCTGTGTCCACCCTCTGATTTTTCAGAGCTTTAGAAATGGCTAGATTCAAGTTGTGGCCAAAACATCCAAACCACTGGCAGGGGAAGGTGGTCTCACTCTCGAATGCCTTTTTCATGTTTGTAGCATTATCAGTTGTAACACTGACAAGACGCTCTTTGTTGATGCCCCACTCTTGCAACATGTTATCAAAAATAAATAAATAAAATAAAAATGTTCTCTGATATTGTCAGCAGTGTGGTCTTCTGGAAAGAACTGTGTTTCCAGGCAATTTGATTGAAGTTTCCAGTCTAAGAGGTAGTGGATGGTGAAGCTGATGTATGGATGTCCGCTTCCTCCACTGCTGGTCCACAGGTCAGTGGTTGCTGCATACCATTTTCCCTGGGCTATACGCTTGCCAACTTCCTCTTTTAGACTGTTGCACATTGAGCAGCATTAACTACACAGATCCGTTGTTCACTGACGAGCTGCGCAAAACCACGTTCATATTCGCGCGATTTTTTGCGCAGCTCGTCAGTGAACAACAGCTCTGTGTAGTTAATGCTGCTCAATGTGAAAGCACGCACGTGATGGAGATTTACCGCTGATTACAGAACCGGCTTTCTGACAAGATGCGCGTTAAATATCGCATGCGATTTATCGTGCAGCCCTACTAATGAGCGTTCTAAAAATCTAAATTTTGATTATATTTTTTCGCGGTATTTTAAAGTGCCCACGATAACAATATCGTGCATATTCATTACCGCAATTTATCGCATTACCGAAAACGGGCACATCTCTACGGTTAGCTCACCCAAAAATGGAAATAAGCCCATGTTTTACTCACCCTCAAGGCATCCTAGGTGTGTATGACTTTCTTCTTTCAGACGAAGCCAATCAGAGTTATATTAAAAATTGTCCCTGCTCTTCCAAGCTTTACAATGGCATGGATGGGCGTTTTTGTTCAGCAGTCCAAAAGTAGTCAAATAAAGCGCATCCATCCATATTAAAATGTGCCTCACACTAATTCATGGCCGATGTTTTGTTTTGTTCTCTCTCCGTCATTCCGCGTTCGTCACTAATCACCGGCGCGTGTGCTACGCATACGTCCTATGTCATCCGCTGGAACAGCTTCTGCCTACGACAGTTAACAGAAGTGAAAGAAAGGTGTTTATAACGTTTTAAATATGGATATTTTTCTTACAGAAACACATCAATTTGCTACAGGAGGCCTTTATTCACCCCCGGAGCCGTGTGAGGCACATTTTAATATGGATGCGCTTTATTTGACTACTTTTGGACTGTTGAACAAAAACACCTGCCCATGCCAATATAAAGCTTGGAAGAGCAAGGAAAATTTTTAATATAACTCCGATTGTTTTTGTCTGAAAGAAGAAAGTCATATACACCTAGGATGCCTTGAGGGTGAGTAAAACATGGACTAACTTTAATTTTTGGGAGAACTAACCCTTTAAAGGCGAGTGAAAACTTTCACGAGTGAAAGTTTTAGAAACCAGACATTGTAGTTTTAAACTACTCAGAACATGAAAATCACTTGTCATGATACAAATTTGCCCAAATGTGCAGTATGCAAAAGATCACACTGCGATGGGTACGTTATCCCACAATGCAATGTGCTCTACTTGACAATCCATTTTCAATGATAAACACAGCAGAAAAAGAGATGACGATTTATACAAACTTGAATTAAGATGCTAAGTAGGGCTGGGCGATATAGCTAAAAAAATGTATCAACGATATAATGTTTCATATCGTTCGGTATCGATAATTATTGCCATTTTTTATAATCTTTTTTAAAACAGAGCAATAGAAAAAAAAATTTACATTTAAGCACTGTATTTTTTAATTAACTCAATTTATTGA